GATTAAAAACAAGGGAATAAAGGAACGATTGAACGGAACGGTCGATGGAAAATACTGTAAACAGATTTAATGTTTTATAAAAAATAACCAACATCGATGACGATTCTTGTAAAAATAATAACAATAATCAAGCGCACGTAATGACGGAACAAGCGCGTTCGGAATACCCGCGCAGCTCGGCGTACGCGACTTTCGAGTTATCGCTGTCGAAATGTTCAATAACAAGTGTGTCTGCGTTTGTACGCAACATTCGGAAGTACGCTTAAATTGCTGTTCGTTTTGTTCAACGTTTCGGACGGCGCGAGGCCCCAATACGTGTCCGCGCGTACGTTTGAAATCGATCGTATTTTTCACGCTCGAGTATCGACACTTCTGACGTGCGACTTTATTGTTATACCCGGCGAATGATGTCGACAAACATGTTGTCGTGCGATATTTTTCCGGCCAGAGTAAAGCCGTCGGATCATCTCAACAGTGACCGTTTTGCAGTTGTCGCGGCGAATAATTATGAAGCATTTTAAATAACAGCGTTTTGCTGCGTATTGTTCGGTCAATGGCGCGACATCGCGGCCAAACCAATGTCATATTAATCGCCTCGCCCGGCGTTTGAAACGCTCTAGTTATACTATGGCGCGGCACGGTTTCCAAAAAAAAAAAAAAAAAACGCCGCGCGCCGAGGACATCTCCGGGCCGACGGTTTCGAACGACCGATATCGTCACAGATACGATACGCGAGTGTTGTTTATACAACTCAATTATAAATAATATGTTTTAACGTAACGATACTTATTATTATTATTAGGCACCTATACCCGTATGATTATTATCATGTCCGAGAACAATATACGGTATTCACGTCGCGCGACTGACGAGATACACACAATAAGAGTGCGGTTTTTTTGTTTTTTTTACGGCACGAATACACACACACACACTCATACTTGATAACACAAAATAGGCGTGTTCGGTTTTCATCATAAAAATACACGATTAGAACATTTTTTTTTTTTTTATATATATACGTACATGTATGTGTTTTTTTATACGTATAATAAGCGAATCGTAATAATGTATAGTAGTATATCGAATGGACAACAATAGCACAACGGGATAAAATTAAAATGTGCATAAATTAACGCTCGTCGAGCCGTGCGTCCGTGCGCGTGTATACGAAAAACCGCATCCTAAAAAGCTATCGGAATAGGTGTTTTTTTTTCCAACGTTTCGAACGCGGCCGGGTATTGTTTGTTTTTTTTTTTTTTTTTTTGTTTCTTCATAAAATAGTGACGAAACCGTGTGTTTACTGCCGTGGTGTAAGCGCCACGCATGTAGAAACTATTTTCGTGGAAAACAACCGTTTTCAACTCAATCGATTTGCAATACCCGAATATCGTTGATTAGTTCAACGTAAAGAAGAAGCTAGTAGTTTTACCAACATGTGTTCTTTTTTTCACGGAAAAAACATTTTTGGTAATTAAAAATGATCCGGTTTTTTTCACCTTAAAAGATACGGGTTTTTCACCTAACCTAACCTACTTTAGTTTGAGAAAAAAATTCTAGATTATATGCAACACTAAAAAATTAAAAAAACTGACGAGAAATATCGGTGCGAGGGTTTAATTTTTAAATTTCCATGACGGCTACAAGGAAGAAAAAAAACTACGACTGAAACTAGCTTTGATAACCTTATCGTCTTAACGATATCCGCTCAGAATCGGTTTTTTCTCGATTTCAATGAGTACCAGTCAAAGTATTCCCTATTATACACCACCAATACTTCGGACCTAAAACTGTCCCACCTACCCACGGTATGTCCTTCTTTATTTATTATTTTCGCGATTTTCTCGATCGCTCGGGCAATACCGGAATACTGTCGTACTCGTATTGCAATATTGCTGTGGGAATGAAAAAAGAAAATAGTAATAATAATCGAAACAAATCAAGAACTTCGCTGTAGAAAATAACAATCGCTTGCATTTTTTCGATATTATTCTTATTATTTTTTTTAACAAAATCGTATATTATCGAGATAGGTATTTTATGGCCCGACTGCAGCAACGCGAAAAACCGCGCGCGACGGTCGCAGCAGTAGGTATAAACGTTTAATAAATTATTAATTGCAGTTTTTTTTTTTTTTACCATTCTGTATATTATAATATACAAACGCGTTGTCACTTCGACATTATATAGATAGTATATATATTATTATATACGCGCGCGTACTATTAAAAATACAGTCGGACATACTTCACACCTCGGGTGGGCCGCTTTTTTCCCTCCCCGAGAAGTCGCGGTGTTAAATTATTATTTTGAACATTGAACGCAATGCGATAAATCATCGTGTTCGAAAAACGACCCGGTGAGCACACAGTCCAAACTGTCCGGATTTATGTGTATATATTTTATATATATATATACATTTAGCATAAAAGAAAAAAAAAAAGAAAAAAATATACCTACCTCCGATTCAAAGCTTTTCGAAAATTCCAACGCGTACGTCATTATTTTTTTTTAAATTCCTTTTAAATTAATATTCGATAACAATAATAGTCCAATACCGAAATACCGAGCGTTGTTTCGTCAAGAAGACCGAATACTATCGATCGTGTCGAATAAACTGTATTATTACTATACTTTTGGAAAGCGTCATATTCCGAGGTGTTCCGTGAAATTGTTCGAGCGTTTTTTTTTTTTTTTTTTTTTTTCGCGCTGTCACAAAAAGCGTTTCCCGAGACGATTATTGTTGAACGAATGGATACGACATCATCGTTGTAAAACTATATAATTTATAGTAGCTCTACTGTGCTCCGAATTTACGTAGACGACGGGGAGGGGGGAAATAAAAACAGTGATCACAGATTATATATTATGTGTAACGTTTCTCGCGAAATACGTCAGCACAAACAGCAACCGTTATCGATTACAGATTGTCCGCGTAGTGGCGTTCGATATTTTATCGAAACGTATGATACGCCTCTGTATCGATATCGTCGTATGAACATGACGTCCGGACCAGAGCGACATTGTGGGTCGCACGCGATTCCCGTGTTGTTGGCGACTAGTCGCCTGAAATCGTTCTCCAAAAGTCGTCGGCTCGTGTGCATGCGCTTTCGAGACGAAGTGGACAAATAAATTATTGTAGTGAAAATCACGTTGTTGTTGACAACAATGTTTTCAATTCCTCCCTCCCCCGCAATTTAGATGTCAACATTTCAGGCCGTCTTCGGTAATTAACCAGACAGTAGAAAATAAAAAAAAAAATTGTTGTGTCACTTATAAAATAAACGGTTCTTATCAGTATCTGCCTACTTGGAATAAACGATTCAGTTATCCCATAGATTGACAACTGATATCTTTTGCAGTTGTTACTGCTAAGTGCTAACTGTAGCTAGGTACCATTAATTAGGCACACTTAATCAACGCTGCTACTAACTGTGACCGGCGAGTGACGACTACTATCAATTTGAGAAAATGTTGAAATAAAATATATTATTATATAATTATGTCCACATTAAATCATTAAAACCTAAGTAGGTATGTACCCGTCTCTAATAGCCATCTCTAGTAAGGTAACTGTGTCGTTTATTCCAGGTAGACAGGTACTGATAAGAACCGTTCATAAGCTGCATAGATAATAAAGATTTGACCACACGCATACTGATAACGTGCCTACTCACCGACGTTTCGAGATGGGGAAGAGGGACTGTATTCTTTCTTAGGCTGAGGTTATTTTGAGGTTGTGTTCAAACTAAGGATTGAGTCTTAATTCGTGCCGTTTACAGGCATAATAGCTATTTTATAATATTTGTTTGGTTTATTATATTCTAAAATAAATCAGAAAATTTGAAGTTTCATGTTGTTTTTATTTTTTTATCATTCTAAGGAATCTTAAAATGAATAAGAATCTATCGAATAAAAATATTCATTGCCGTTGTGATGCTTTTACAAGTTAAAAGACACATCTGTATATTATTGACGTTTAAAATACGATAAACTACACAAGTCCAAACCGTCATCGAAACAAACTAATCATTAATTCCATTGGAATTTTTGAATAATTAGCTATAAAATATGCTGTATAATTCGAAGTTATAATTTAAAGCGAACAAAAAAATATTAATCACAATAACTAAAACAGTCTTAGTTTTAACAAACCCTCAAAATACCATCAGTCAGAGAAAGATCATTATGGAAACAGTCTCTCTCATTTCCACATTCCGATCAGCGATTGCAAATTGTGTGATAGCCTATCCGTTCTCGGGTATCTACTATTAGCAGTCGTCTGAAGGTCTAATCTAGCCTAGTCAAACGTCGTATATACAACTTCCGTGAATTTGCTCAATATTTAGTGAATATTTGATTTTATTAAAATACTAAAATACTAGTTAAACGCTTTTTCAAACGCTGAAATGCGAACAGTACGGTTACATCGGTCGCACGGTATTCCAAATCATTGACAACTACGTTTGGAAACAATTAAGTATCCGAAAATGGAAGACAAGAAAGTCGCCCTGACAATGTTGCTATGTACGGAAACCATCGTTATCAACACGGACGACAACCGCAAATGTTCGACAAATTTCTCGTTCGGAAAAACTTTTCGACTCTATTGACGTTGTTCGCGTGTTGTTACGTATAATCTGTGTTTTCCAGTGACGTTTTCCACACTCGGGCGACCGAAAAACGGTTTTCCCCGTGGTTTGGTACAGAATATTGTAATACTCTGTTATCTGCGGCGTACGCTCTTTGTCGAGCTGCGATAACACCCGAGTGCGAAAACCGCCGTTGACGGTCTTTTGTTTTGCGGCACGACTCGCGCGCATACGACGCACTCGACTGGAAAACCGTACACGATAATAATAATAATAATAATAATAATAATAATATTAAAATAATAATAATATAATATAACACGTTTTCCGAGACCGGCCTCGATTTTCGCCCGTGCGTACAGCTGCGGTGCCCGTTAATTTATTTCATACCTATAGGTAAGTACTTACAATATTCGTCGTGCAAAATACGGCCGGGAGACGCGACGTCCCGTTCCGCTTTTTCCGCTTTTGTCGTGCGTTTTGACCGAGAGCCAGATACTGCCGCACGGGCCTGGCTAAAGCTCTCGTGACGCTGTAAAATATGTACGAGTATATACGTAGACGAAAATTGGTGGAATTCTCATTCTCGTGGGAACAACTATAGATCATTACATTATCGACGGTCGGATCGTCTTCCTCGGTACCGTTATAGTAGTTGCCGGTAAAAACGATACGAGACCAGTGAGTTCTTCTCCTGTGCGTAATGAATGAAATTATAAGCCTTAACGTCAATTATTCCGATATTGCTTCGTCCGGGGTCTTCGACTGCGCGTCCGTTCGCGAGCTCACGTCCGAAATTAATCGAGAATAACCTTCGATTTGTTGTAGGTACAAAACCACGTCGGGTGTAGGTCAGATGAAAAAAAAAAAAAAAAAAAAACGTGCTTGTGAAGAGGACATGATACCCGCGTGTGATGTCTCCGTCTTGTAAACACGTCAAAGCGAATTTTCTTGCAGCAGGACCAACTCGGTGCTGTTCGTATTAAAGTGAATTTTACTATTATCAAACGATATTTCGTGCCTGTCTTGTGGAGCAAGGTAAATGGCGTGCCCTGAAATTGTCAATGCGAGCAGATTTATAGTAAATAATAATCGCGAATCGTGAATCATGAAAGCGTACACGTTCTTCCGTTGTACCGGCTAATCCGACAATACGAATTGAAAAACAAATTTTCGTTCAATTAATCGATGTTTTTTGCCACGTAATTCTGGGTGAAATTATGTGATTTCAAGACAAAATCACCGAATAAACACACATAGTTGGTGAACTATTGGGCCGACGTGAAGAGGGCGTATGCAAACCCCACACATAAACTATATTTTCTGTTCCTCATATTATGTCGTTTCGACCGGAAGACTGTGTTAAGTAAGTATACGTATTTAAACGGGGTCGGGGTACGGACTTATACGACGCGTTTTATAAAATCATATATTTTTGCGCCCGTTCCGACGTACGCCTTAATTGTCGCTTGGCACGTGTTCCGGCCGGCCGTTTCCTGCGAGTACTTTCAGGCCCGCTTAGTGGCGTCGAACACGCGGCGCGTTTGTCGTCGCCGTTTCGCCACTTGTATTATTTTGGTTTTTTTTTTTGCGCCCGCCCGCACAGGTACTGCTAACGACAGCAACGATATAATATTAATAATTTATAATACTATAGGCATACGTAAACGCAGGGGTCGGGATGGCGTGTCAGGACGCGCCGAACACCGTTAAAATTGAATAATACGTTCGCACGATAACGTTATAATAACAATAATTATATCGGGGTGGTTAATACGCGGTGCATTTTAATGCACCGCGCGTATTATTACTGCACTGAAATTAAAAATTAACCGCACAAATATTGTGAGCACCTTATATTTTATTACCGAACCGGAAGAGCGCCACAAATTCCAACTAGTCGACCACTAAGTACAGCCTACAATGATTATCTTTTTAAACTTAAATGTAATTCTGTTTGATCAAATAACGTTATCTACATAGGAGGTGACTACCAAATAAAAACTGGGTACGTGAATAACACACATAGAATGCCAATAGTTACCTAAAATGATTTGAAAACTTTACTGCGTCTAGAAAATATAAATATAGTTTTTCTGTCAAAATGTCAAATCTCTACGGTAGTTTTTAACTGAATTACAATAAAAAATTAAAATTGAGAATAATAAAATCATTATTTTTCTAATCTTTTCCGTTATTTTCACGGTTTTTCGGTTTTGTTAAACTATTAAAAAAACTACATAGAAAATCAAAAAACCATTTTTCACCAACTAAACTAAAAATACAACAAAAAAGGTCTCTTATCGTTTTTATATCGGAACAATATATCAGATAAAAAATACAAAGCAAATCAATTATAAATAACGAAATCATAATATCTTGAATGTGTTCGATTTCAATTTTCTTCTCTTTTCGATTTTTTTCCAATTATTGTGAAAATTACTTGGAAAATCAAACAAATGATTTATTTCGTGATCGGTTGCTGTAGATGAGCTTCAAGAAATATGGATTTTAATAAAATCCGCGTGAAAGTTAAATATAGGGAAAAATCAATTTTCTTTGACTTTTTGTTGTTGCATAATAATTTGACCATAGCGGATTTAACCAATACCCGATGTTTGCTGTCGACCTAAAACGGTTAACCGATCAAATATTCGAAATCGTAATATAAACGATTGAATACAAATTGCTCTCCGAAAATATCGGGTCATATATCTGTTTTGAAAAAATAACTTGTGCTCACCATCAGTGTCGCAACTAGGATTTTTTAAGCAGAATGGTACTTGTCTACATTGAACAAAAAAACGCAGTTTTTATTAAAACATTTATATTACTAAAATACAGACACAGGGGAGTATTCAGGCACCCAATATACCCCCTCCCTTGGTTGCGCCACTGCTCACCACTAATTATAATGCAAATAAGTAACTCGTGAAATTCGAAAAAACTATAAACACAAAAAACATAGAAAAAATACATTGAAAAATGTCGTGTATTGTTAATTAATATACGCGGAATTATAGTATTATTAACATAATAGTAACCGAATTTGAACATACCGGGTTTTTTCGAATGTTTCCTCGGTCGATAAAAACATGTGGAAACCGATAGTTGTACGTCATAACAACACGCACGTAAAAATATATTATAATTGCTCAGCGATTGCGAGGAAAACAAATTATGTTGTTGCTTTTAAGTTTTATTACGTTATTATTTGTTTGAATAATAATTAAATCCGATTGGTAGTAACAGTAATAAATAACCATTGTCATTAATCGTGATATTGTCTTATGTAGTGCACTTAAATTATAAAAAGATTTCGAAACATTAAAAACAAATAAATGCCATTTGAGCCGTCTTCTACGATATAGAGTGTACTACAGTGTTATCTGAATGTTAATAATACTCTGGCAATATTTATTTATTTATTTTTTTAATTGTTTTCTATTGAATTTTGTATCGGACGACACAGATGTAGAGAAAAATTAAATTTCTATTTTCATCTATTAATTACTGAAAAAAAAAATTACTTAATTTTTTCACTTTTTAAAATTTTCAAAACAGCCATTTGGTAAAATAAATTACTCTTAAAATTTAAATACACCTATCGTACATTTAAATCCGATTCATAAATCTGAGTCTTTTGGTAAATATTGTATTATTTTTTATGGGGAATATGGTCAGTATTTAGGCAACTACAACCTTCGATGCGTATATTCGTTTAACAGTAATAAACAATTTGTTTTACCTACTAAAAATATATTAAATCCTCGTTCCCGAAACAAATTTCTAATTACGCCATTGCGTTAGACCGAACGACAAATTAAATTTTCATCTGTATGAAATATTGTTATTTAAACTCTGTATGCGTCAATCGTCTACATATAATATAGACTAGTAATTTGTTTTTAATTATTCTATTAAACGCTATAATATCATTATGGCGATGCGGTGAAATACGCGTAATTATGATTATAATAATTACAACAGTTTCGTTTTGGTATACTGACGGTAATAATAATTGTATTATAATTTCGGTGACGAATTTGGTTGATCGAATTCGTTGAAAACAAACTTTTTAAATGAATCTTTAATTCGATTTAACGGCCGTCGTACAAGTTGTGCAAGTATTTTAAACTCGCTAACAAATCAACGAAACCGGCGTACAAATTAACCGCAACACAATAACACGGTTAATTGTGTATAGTGTTCAACGTCAGTAACAATTTTCGCATGAAATTGTCGTAGGGAAAGACGTACCTACAGTCGACCGACAATAATTATTGTAGACAATTCATTTATCTTACAGAATTCGAATGTAGAACAACAGTTTCGAAAAGGGAATACAATTATACAACATTATAAAATTGGATTGTTTGGTTCACTTTTATGTAAATACACAAGTACCTACTTAGTGTATTGTAAAATAACGTGCAATTAAGTGTACACGGGGAGTATTTTTAATAATATAAAAAAAAAACTGCTCGTAATAAAAAAAAAAAAAACAATCTTATTTTTGACTAAAAGAGTATTTTTTACAAGGAATTTAGTACGTATAAAACGTTAAATTGTATTTATTAGGCGGGGGAAAAAAAGGCCGCCGAAAAGTGAATCTCGAAATCGTTTGAGTAAGTATCGAAATTATTTTATTACATTATATCGAGCAATAATTATGTGATAACAATGATCATAATAATAATAATATTCCTTTACGTAGCGTTAATAATATTATCAAATTGATCTTATTATTCTACTATAAATTTAATAAATGTATATAATGCCATTATTAAAGATCTGAGAAAAATATTATTGGATTTACTTACAATCATTTTTTTTTTTTTTTTTTTTTTGACGTTCACGGGCGCAGTTAATCAAATGCATTTTGTAGTTCAGTAAAAAAAAAAAAAAATTCTAAGCATTAAGCAATAAATAACCGAATGATTTTGGTTTTAAGGTACTTAAAGTTACTAAAGTACTATTAAGTATTAAATTTGAATCGGTATGTTTTATTTATGTGTAGGTCACTGTTATAAGTGGAAGTTTGGAAAAGTATAGAATACATGAGCATACGTGTATTTTGTATACTGAAAGAAACAATTCTGAACGAAGCTTATATGAAAAAAAAAAACGTGATTTTAGAGCATAGAACGTTAGTATAAAGTGCAAAAAAAAAAAGGTTTGGATTGAGGTTCGTTGATTATTGATCACCTGGGTTCAGCCCATTTCAACTCACCTCTGTACGTAAATAAATGTATTTTCAATAGTGCTACACTAAAATACGTATGAAATACAAAAATTATTAAATTAATTGTTATAAAGGATAATAAAAATAATAATAAATAAATAAATTGTGTATTTTTTGTGTTGTCTAAAATCCGTATTTTCATACGTGCATACTGCATATAAAACTCAAAATATGTTTGTTTTTGTTACTCATTTGTCACAAGCACCGCTTTTTGGGTTTTAATCAAATTGTATTTTATATTTTGTATTAAGTGTGTTAAATTTCTATTTGATGATGATAATAATAAAAAAAAAAATAAAAATAATAAATGGGCCTTCGCAAAGGCGTAAATTTAATAATATTTCAAATGTTCAAACCGATTTTAAAAATAATGTCTTATATCAATACAATTTAGATAATGAATAACAAAATAATTTATATTTCTTAACATGTATGTGTCTAATGATAAC